ATACTATTAAAAAAATTTTTTGAGTTATTATTAAATTTAAATTTATTTTGATTAAAAAAATAATAATTAATTTATAAAGTAAAAAAATTTTTTAGTAGTTTTCTCTCTTTTTACTGTAAAGTATTTTTATAAAAAGTATATAAAATTTTTTTTTTTAAATATAATATCTTCTTTAAATATATATAAAATTTTTACTATATTTTCAGAAGTATATTTAGACTATAATAAATATAAACATAAATATAAATAATAGATTTTGTAATATAAACTAATTATGTATCAACTTATTAAACTAATAATAAATAACTAAATATTTTGTATCATCTTTACTAAAATATATATAATTCTTTATTATGCTATAAACTAATAAATATATATTATATTTACAAATATTTTTAAATAATTTTTAATTTTATAAATTATATTAATAGTTAAAAAGATCATATAGAAAACAGTTAATAGAAAAGGAAAAAATCTACAAATTTTGAATAATTTTAATTATTAAGCTAATTTTGTTCACATGATCATAATTAGCAGAATGAACCAATAAAAAAATTTTTAACTAAAAATTGGATTTCTCCTTTTTATTGACCGTCTCCTATATTATAAACATATAATTTATTAATTGTAAAAGAAAATTTTTTATATTTACTTTTATATTAAATTTTAATTTGATGTATTTTACTTTATTGCAAAATAAAATTTTAAATTATTTAATTTTTATAATATTATATTAAACCTAAATTAATATAACTAGAATTATTTTAATAAATAAAATATATTTTGATAAATATAATGTATTTTGTTAATTATAATATATTATTATAGATAAGATTATTTAACTAAGCTTATTTTGGATTTAACAAAATGTTAAATTTAGTTTTGCTAATTTTTTATTAAGATTTTAATATATTTTCACATTTTTATAAGCTTTAATATAGTTTTATCTTTTCTAGAATTTATAGATTTTAATAAGATTTTAATATAATTTTGCTAAATTTTACTTTTTACCATTTAAATAATTTACAAACCTTTAAATTTTACCCAAAAACTTAATGATAGACATATTTAGATTTATTTAAAAATCTATTTTTATTAATATTTAAAAACAAAAGTTTAAGAATTTATAAAAGAAAATAAAAGTATATAATAAATAAAACTTATTTTTTCTTTAGGAATAATTTTTATTTTTATTTTAAATTTAACCTAAAATTTATAAAAAAAAAATTTTTATTATTTAAATCTAAAAAAAATCAGCATTTATATAATTGAAAAAAATGAAATATTTTTACTAAAAATATTTTAATTAAATAAAAATCTTTTTTTTATTATCTATCATAAGTTATCTAAGTTTTTAAAAAGTTAGCATTTTTATAAATAAAAAAATATATACTTTTTATTAAAAATGTTCTTAATTAAATAAAAATCTTTTTTATTATTTATTATTTATAAAATTATTTAAAAATATATTTTTATAATAAAATTATTTTATTAAAAATATTTCTTAAAATGCTCATTTATTTTAATATCTATAATATTTAAATTTATTTTTCTATAAAAAAATTTCAAATTAGTATTAGTAAAAATATTTTTTAAATAAATAAATAAATAAAATAAAAATTTTTATTTATTTTCTTTTAATTCAATTTAATAATTCTCTATAAAAAAATAAATAAATAAATAAAAAATATTTATATTTATTATATTTTATAAATTTATTATAAAAAAATTATAATAAAAAATAAAATTGATAATGATATAACTTGCAATTTAATAATTGATAAAATTATATATATTTTAATACAATTTGATATTATATCAGAAATATTAATCTAATTTTTTTAACATAATATATTAATTAATTTAATATAAAATTATTTAATGATTTTCTTTTTTATAATTAATATAAAATTAAATTTGATAAATTTTTAAATATTAATTTTTTAATATTAATAATATTTAATTAAAAATAGATATTTTAATTAATTACAATATGTTATTATACAGTATAAATATATAAGTTACAATTAGTTATTAATATTATAAAAATTTTGATAAATAATCTTTATATTTAATATAATTAATATATTAATATAATAAATATCATTTAAAATTGGCTTATTATATGAATTAATTATAATATTATATAAATAGATTAATTTGTATAAAAAAAAATATTTTATAAATTTTAAAATTAAAAACATTCGAGTTTTTTTCTAATATTTATGTAATTATTTGATACTTATTTATAATAGAGTTTTTTTATTAAAATATCTTATATTATTTTTAATAATTTTACAATTTAGAAAATTATATATTAATAATGTGTATATCTACTTATACTAACAATTAACCTAAATTAATGGTAATTTATTTTTATTTTTCTTTTGGGATTATTCTTATTTAATAATAAATTTTCTTTGTAATACTTCTAATTGTATTATTAATGAATTTCATATTAATTAGTTTTTATAGAAACAGTTTTTAATATATCAAACTTCTGTAGATGTTTGCCTAGTTTTCGTCATACTCTTTACCATGTTGTATCGGAAGGGTTTCGTTGTATCTCTTATTATGATTTTAATAGTTTTGATTATTATTTTTTGTATTAATTAATTAAAATTTATGTCATTATTTGTTACACTTGCACATTTTTACACCAACAAAAATTTGTGACCGATTTCATCATAGCACAGTTAAATTTGTTTAATTTGTTTAAAAAGGAATTTATCACCATCACGTGTAATCATAAAATGACGTTTATTGATTGTAACTGTTTTGTGATAAAGAATTCTTTAGCAGAACTCCTAATTTTTAAATTAATCCTATAAATAGACAATATCTGCGCGTTCGTGATTCAACAAATTTAATAACTCCGAGTGTAACTTAATTTATGCCAGGTACTAATGAACGATCATTGGGACGAAAACCAGGTAAAGCACTTTATGAATTATACATTTATCATTGTTTCTGGGTAGAATGTTTAAATAGAACTTTATGCAACCAACCTTCCATTTCAAAAATTTATTATAAAGATCATCCAAAGAATAGTTCTTTATTCTTTTATAAACTCTTCGGTATCACGATGAAATCTAAGTGAATTTCCATCTTTTTTTCTTAATTAAAGGTTCATTTATATCAAAAAAAAAACAAAAAAACAAAAAAAAGTTCCATAAGATTTTTCTGAGAAAATTAAAACAATGAAAAATTCATTCATAAACTGATTATAATTTTTCCTTAAATATTTAATTGTTTCCTTTGCGTATATTGATTTAAGTTCCAATAATCGAGTTTAGAAAGAAAATAATGGATTTTTGACGTAAAAACTCGTATCATATAATAATCTTGTGCGCCCATTTCCAAGCCACGATTAACGAACCTTTTTTTTTTTTAATTATATTATTTTTATTTCTTTCTTTTTTTTTTTTTTTTTTTTTAAAAAAAATTTTTTTTTTTTTTTTTCAAAATCTTTTAACGAATTTTCATTTTTAATATTATTTAAATATTATTAGGCTTAACAGAATAATTTAATATTTTTATTATTAATTTATTATCGGTTTATTTATTAAAAAAAAAAAATTCGGAAACTACAGGTAATTTATGATTCATTAATGTAAATTTATTATGTAGCGTTAAAATTATTTATGTTAATCGTTAATGATAAATTATTAATGATCTAATAATACTTTTGTGTAATCTCCTTCCTTCTCTTCTAAAAAGAAGAAAATTTGATTCTTATTTGCAAGGTATAAGAAAGAGTAATTTCTAACAATAATTTATAATAAAAAGAAATAAAAGCAGAAAAATGTAGTTATTTTATCAGAAGCTTTGTGAATAAAAAAAATTTGAAAATATAATCCTAGAAATTTGAAAACTAACAAACAAAAAAAAATTTTTTTTTGTACATTATAATTTCGATTCACAGAGATATTTAATATAATAAATAAACGAATAAAATGGGTCAAACGCTTTCAGAACCTGTCAAAGATAAACATTCAGACGGGGGCTCCGACAAACGTATTGTCTATGCCTCTTCAGCAATGCAAGGTTGGCGTATTAGTATGGAAGACGCACATACTGCCGAATTAACGCTCAAAGATAAAATTGGTTATAGCTTTTTCGGTGTTTATGATGGTCACGGTGGTAAATATCATCATATAATAATGAAATAAATTATTAGAAATCTCTCATAATTGATAATAATTATTAATTAAACTTCCTTTTATTTTACCTATTTTAAAGGACAAAATGTCGCCAAATATAGTGGAGCTCATCTTCATGAACGAATTGCTAGAGACGAAAAATTTCCTATTGATCTCGAAGTGGCTATAAAAAACGGTTTCTTGGGAACCGATGAGGATTTAAGAAATGGTATTAAGATCCACGAAAGCTTTTCTTATTTGACAATGTTTTTGAAATTTTAAGATTGATTACCTTTTATTTTAGACCCACAATATGCTAATGATCCCTCCGGTTGTACCGCTGTTACGGCTGTTGTGACTCCTAATGATTGGGTTTTTGTTGTATGTTAAATAATATTTATTGTTCAATTATTTAAGCAATACCCTGATTATTTGAACAAATAATTCTATTTATTTATTAGGGCAATGCTGGTGATTCTAGAGCTGTTATGAGCATAGAGGGAGAGGCATTGGCAATGTCAATTGATCATAAACCTCTTAATAAAGGTAAATTAAACGAACTCATTTTTTATTTTATCAAATTCGCCATATTTTGCTTATTTATTGTGATCATTTGTTTTTAAACCATTTATTTTATTTTTTTTTTTTTTGCAGATGAATCCTCTCGCATTTCGAAAGCCGGTGGATTTGTTGAATTTGGGCGAGTGAATGGTATGATAATTTATTGTTTTATAAATTTGTTTGCTAACATGTAGTATTTTTAGTGTTTGACTAAACTTTATTTTGTCAAGACCACGAAATAATGAGACCATTATCGACGAATTGTTTAAAATAAATATTTAAAATTCGTAATTTTTTAAAATTTTATAGGTAATTTGGCCTTGTCGCGAGCTATTGGTGACTTTGAATTCAAGCAAAACCCAAGCTTATCGCCTGAAGAACAAATTGTAACAGGTTTGTTTTCGTTTTTTATTGATTTATTTTATCCTTGTCTTACTTGTCTTACTTTGGATCTAATCTATATTGTAATTTTTTATAGCATTTCCTGATGTTAAAAAAGAGAAGATTACAGACAAAACAGAATTCTTAGTTTTAGCTTGTGATGGTAATTTTTTTATTAATTAACAATTTTAAATTTTATCATTCACGAATGAATGATTTAAATAAACTACTTTATTATCTAGGTATATGGGATTGTCTTTCTTCACAACAAGTAGTTAATTTTATTCGTCGAGATCTCGCCCAATCAAGAAGCCTTAAAATAGCTTGTGAGAATTTGATGGAAAGATGCTTGGCCAAAGATAGTGAGCTTGGTGGTATCGGGTGCGATAATATGACTGTTGTCATTGTCGGTTTTCTCAATGGTAGAAACGAAAAGGACTGGTATGATTGGATGGCTTCAAGATATGGAAATGTAGGACCATTATACGACGAGGAAAATGACAAACAAAAAGGAAATGAGTTTGCGTCAGATTATATTGATGAAGATGCGGATGAAGGTTTGGAGATACCTTCAGATACACAAGCAGATGATTATCCACCTGACGATAATGATCTTGAAAATCAAAATGAACTAACCATTGACGATATTCCGCATCGAAAAGATAGCACTGACAGTAATATTTCAAGTCGTAGCAGCAGCACCGATAGTTTCAGTAAGATTCCCGATAATAATAAAGAAAAGAAGAACGATAATAATGCTGTTAGCAGTCCCACTTCTACGAATACACAACAATCCCCATACGATGCAAAATCACCCAATAATGACACGGGTCATAATTCATCTGCCGAATCAACTAAAGTTCACAAGTCAGAAACTGAAGAATCCGTTAATTCTGTTAGTGCTGATGGTAAAGGAAGGGCATACAATAGCCAAACTTGGCCTAATATCAACAAGTAATAAATTATATTGAAAAAAGAGGTTTCTTAACATTTTCACTTAGGAACAGCGAGTAACAATCATAATACCGATGAGAAAAGAATAATTATTTATATTCCAATTGTAGGAGTAAACATGCAAATCAAAGCAAACCGAAAAAATAAAAAGGAAATAAAAAATGATGGATACATATGAAAGCCATTTTTGTCATAGATTATCAAATATTTTTAATAACAATAAAAAATCGGGTACATGGCAACATCTAAGCATACGAACTTAATCATCGATTGTGGTATTATACTTTGCATGCTCTAAGCAATATCCTTTTGCTAATCAGTTTAGTTGCGTTGTTGGAAAATTTCTTTTTTCATTATAAATATTCTTCATCTATATAGTTTTTCTTAGTTGTGTATCTAAATTCAATTTTCTTGTATATTTATTTATAAGCTTGTGATGATTAAATTGAGAGAAACTTATTTATTATTTTATTGTTATATATTAATTATTACATTATCGTTAAAATAAATAATCTTTCATTAAATCAGATCAGCTCCAACGTCGTCATATTAAATTAAAATATTATTTTTTATAGAAATTTAGACGGAGAATTAATTAATAATATAAATTCTTTAAATGAGCTTCAAATATCAAAACTTAGTTTTATTTTGAGAGTAAAGAATTAATTTCAAAAAGTTAAATTTTTCATGTAATTACGGATAATAATATTTCAGCACAAATTACAAATTTATAAAAATCATTTAATCGATCACCTTTTGATTAAATTTTTAATTTATTATAAATTTTCTTTAATTAGATATATAAATTATAAAAATTTTATTCTTAAAATAAATGTAATAAAAAAAATTCAATTTGGATTAATCATATCAATTAAACTTAAATTTTAACTATCTTTTTAACTAATAAATAATAATTTATGTTTTTAAATATATCTTTATTAAAGATCACATTGTTTTATTGTATCTTAAATGATTTATTATAAACATTTATATATAAATTACCTATTAGTAACAATAAAAGAATTATTTTACATTCTTTAATTATTTGTTAATTCATTTATCTTAATATTATTTATGAAAATAACTTAATAATTATGATATTTATTATCCTTAAATTGTAAAAGATTACAGATAAATTTACTTGATTATTTATTATAAATTCCCTTTAATTTACTTTAAATTTTTATTTTTTAATTATTGCTACCTAGCTATTGATTGAGCAGACTGAAATACTTAACCAATTGAGCAACAGCTAAGTTTAACTTAAAATTCACATCTGTTTAGGAGAGTCATTATTTAAAATTCTTAAATTAAAGGTTAAGAGAAGGTATCACGTACTCTTCCTCAAATCTTGTCACAATGTTCATTTACAACTCAAATTTCTAAACCAAAAAGTATGAAAACTTTACTGATTTAATCTTTAATAATTCTTAAAATACTTCAAAATAATCAAAGATATTATGCTAATATATAATGATTAAATTAATTACTAATAAAGGAAATTAATTCTTTATTCTGGCAAAATTCATAATTTTACAGATTTTATTTATACAAGTCTCTTATTAATAAATAAACAAATATGTTCAAAATTAAATTCAAAGGTTTATTTATTTCAGAATTGTTTTATTGAAAATAAATAAAGGGTAACTCCTTAAAAATTGTAAATTTATACTCTTAAACTTTAATTTCAAAAAGTTGCTTTTACATAATAATTTTCAGTGACTATTTATAATAAAATTTCTAAACTAATTTTTTATCTTATTACAGAATAATTATATAATAATTTCTTCATTAATAATTAATGTTCATGTCATATTGAAATAATTACTACCTAATTATTTTATAATAATTCTATAATTAATGATTATATAATTTCATAAAAATATTTTAATAATTATTCTATTATTATTACATTTTCTTTTTAGCTTCCTTTTCTTAGAATCTTCTTTTAGTATACCTATTTTATATTTGTATCATATGTCGTCATAGCTAATGATTTCATTTCTCTTCATTGATTATTTTATCTAAAGTTTTGTATAATATCTGAGTTGATCATTTTTTAGCCAATTTTAATGATCATTTATATTATATAAACTTTTTGCAGATCATTTTTGTTATATCACAAGATTTCTATTCTTACTGCAAATTACTTGTATTATATTATGTAATAAAAATTTAAAGTTATTTATAAATTAAAATTTTGTAATTTTAAAAAAAATTTTATACTAAAAATTTTATCAATAACTTTTAATATGTTTACTTTTAATAAGATTTAATTATTATATAATATTATCTCTTAAATAGTAAATATTAAATTATTTATAATTATAAAAAATTTTAATATTTTAATATATAGTGATTATAAAAAGATAAAATAAAGTTTATTAAATTTATCATATTAAAACATATTTAATAGTAATATTTTTAAATTTTAAAATTAATAATTATCAAAATATATTATTTTTCAAATTAAGATTTAAATAATTATAAAAAATAAAATTTATTAGTTGAATTTATCTTATTAAAACCTATTAAATAATAGTATTTTTATATATTCTAAAATTAATAGATAATAAAATATAAATTTAATTTTTTTTTAATAATATTTTATTATATTATATATTTATCTTAAAAATCACTAGTTTATTACATTTTTTTTTAATTTTTATTCATTATAAAAGTATTAATTTTTATAATTTTTAATAAGAATCTTATTATTAATCATAGTGATGATTATCATTTATATCATAAATTTTCTTTTTTAAAGATTTATATATGCTAATTTTGCTTTTTAGAAATTATGTAATATTATCTACTCTTTTAAAAAAAAATATTTTAATTAATAATATAAATTTTAATCAAATTAGAAATATAATAAATAACATAATATGTGATAAATATGATTTTACACTTAAAAATTCTAATTCTCTAGAATATATAATAAAAATGAAATATAAAAAGTATGATGTGAGTAACAAATTTTTTATATAAGAAAATCACATAATACTAATAATATTTATCACTGATGATATAAAATAATATTTTTTAATAAATTATTTTAAAAATATTTAAAATAATTAAAAAATAATTTTAATTTTAAATAAAGATTGTAGGTGAATTTACTTATAATTAAGATTGCAATTTAAATTTATTTTGGATTTGACAAAATATTTAAATCTTTAATTTTATTAATTTTTTATAAAAGTTTTGATATAATATTATTATTTTTATAAATTTTAATATAATTTTATCTTTTTTTGAGTTTTACAGATATTTAATAAGATTTTAATATAATTTTACTAAATTTTACCTTTAACTATTTAGATAACTTTCAAAACCTTTAGCAATCTTAGTTAAATTAAATTATTATTAATTATATTCTATAATATATCAATCTAATTTACTGTATAATTATTTTATATAAAGGTTTTATAATTTTATTAGCAAATGTTAACTCTTTTAAATTTAACTATTAAAATCATTATAATTTCTTTATATCTATAAAATTTAATTTATTAAATTAATTTAAAAATTAAAAATTTAAAAAATTTTAAATAGAGACTTACTATTAATTACTGATGGTGATCATCATCAGTATTATATGATATTTATAATTCAGGTCAAAACTATAGAAATTATAGATAGGAATATTGATCATTTTCTTATTTGGTAATAGCCATTCCATAAAAAATCACTTTTGGATAATTTTTCTAAAAATCATAAAAAAATACCCATATGACAAATAAGTATGACAAATAAGGTTTTTTATAATAAAAAATTTTAAGTCTAAAAATACATAGTAAAATCGAATCACAGAGAGATATGACACTGGTAACAATTAAAAGTCATGTAATACTAGTAATGATCACCACTAGTGATTTATAGCAAAATTCTTTTAAATATTATAAATTTATATATTTAAAATAAATAAAATCTTATTTTAATTTAAATGATTTATTTATTAACATATCTAAAGGTTGTAAATATAATATTAATTTTTTAAAAATAATAACAATATTAATTTTTTTTTAAATAATATTTTACAAAATTAATAATATATATTTAAAAAAATTTTGATATAAGTAAAAATTATAAATTAAAAGAAGTTGCTAGAATTAAAAAGATTTGATTCAATCTGATCTGATCTAAAAAGACTGATCTTTTATCTTTTTAAGACTGAATTCATCTTTTATATTTAGTCTTACTGGTCTAGTTCTAAATATGTTTTCTTTTCAGTTTAGATTGATTTATAAAACTAGTTTAAAAATCAGTCCTTAGTTAACATATAATATTAATATATAATTTTATTGAAAACAAAAATAAATTATTTTTTATTATAAATGAATATAAATATATACTAAATTAAAATGTTTAATATTAAAAAAATGTTTCTTTCTTTTTACTAATTACTTATTATTTTATATTAATTATATTATTTCTTACAAACATCTTGATAAAACTAACTCTTTAAACACAATGTTATCCTAGTTATTTCCACTTCTAATCTATTTTTTAAAAGTAAAATAACTAATTTAGTGACTGAAAAAACTTGTTTTGAAGTTATATTTATAGCTTGAATATACAAATAATATCTCGCTATTTGATTTAAAATTAAAAATTCTTATTATTATGATTATCACCATAATAAAGAATCAATTTGGTTTTTTAATAGCATTGCTAAATATCTATTTAACTCTTCTTAAATATTATATACTAGTAATAAAATAGTTGAAGTAAAATTATTATTATTATTTCGTACTTATAATATTATCTGATATAGAAGCTAAAGTTGAAATAAATATTAAAAGATATCTATTTAACTTTAATATTAATTCTTTTACTTTGTTAATATTATTTACACCTTTGAATGCAGATAGTTTTACTCTTGAATCTAATACTAAAAAAATTTGTAATGATTTATCTAAAATTAATAAATAATCCTCTAATTTTGATAAATTGCATTTGCTATTATATATTATGAAAATTCATCATCATTTTTATATT